CCAACCCTCCCCCCCCCAAAAAAAAAAGAAGAAAAAAGGAAAAAAGAAGAAAAAAGGAGGCTAATAGATTTGCAATTTTATGTCCAAGAAGCAATATATCACAGCCTGGGTTGCCGTTTGTCCTTTTGTAACCTGCACCAGCAAGGCTGCCAACTGCTTCGTCCACAAAACTCGGAACCAGGAAGATGAAAACCAACTGGTGGAGATTTGGAGAAGGGCAATAAAAGTGATTAGGGAGCTGGTGCTATTAATTTATGGAGAGATATTAAATGATGTAACTGTGTGTAAATTGATAAATTAGATGTAAGCAGGTGTATGAAGAATAGAGAACATTTTCAAGAGATGTGAGTGGAGCAGAGGAATTATTTGAAGAGTTTTACAAGCCTTAGTCAACAGCAATTGGGAAGAGAATGCTTAGTATCAAGAATAACACCTTGGTAGGGAGGCTCTGGCAAGCCCCCCCAAAATGTTGTATGTTGTGTGAGCTCATTGGCACTCGTTTGCAACTGGTCTGTGCAAATCGTATCACACACGAGCAAGGTATAGCAGGGGACAGTTCTGTGCTGGAAGGAACACAGGGATGATAGCCTGACAGAGCTTCCCACCTCAGTTCCTAGAGTTTTCATGGCAGGTGGCATGCAGTGCAGTCTGCAAGAATGGACCTGCAAACTGCAGGGCTTCACAGCTGCTTATGAAGTAGCAGTTACAGCAGTGCTTCTGCTGATGTCAGATATGTGCATGTCCCTGGTCCCTCCCAGCTCTGAATTAGGCCAGGGTCCCTGTACAGGGTCCACAGGAGGAAAACGGGGCAGGCAGGCCAGAGAGGAATGGGAACAGCTTCTGCAAAGAGCTTCTACCACAGCAGAAGGTAAACCCTGTCACAGAGCTGTGAGGCACACAGCCAGTTGGACCACCAGGCTTTTCCTTTACATAAAAATCTGTCTCCTGTGGCAAATAATGGATCTGCCTTGATATTTCAAAAATCTACCTCAGAGTCACTAGCTGTAGGCACCTATGGATTAAGCAGAGAAATCAATTATTAAAGAAAATTTGACGTTATGCTTCTCCTAGTGCCTTGCTACCATCCTTCTCTTTCATATCTCAATATACCTACGTCTTCAATAATTTAATCATCTTTAGAAAGACCATCCTCAGGGTGTGAATGGACTCAGGGAGGTCTGACAACGTGCTGCATCCCAGCCACTGTTGGATGTGTTTCACATTCCACACTGCCCAGCGGAGTCAGCAGTTTCTCAGCAATACCTGGCTCTGGAAGGGCACTGAGCCACAGGCCTGGGTACAGCCCCAGCTAGTGTTTCCCTGCTGCAGTTGTCTTCTGACCCCCAGGATGGACCTAAGCCCTGCTTTCCAGAGGCAAAAAACCGTATCTTTTGGCCCAATATATCTCAAGCACCCTGAAAAACAAGGGATAGCCATTCCTTTTTTAAGGTTTCAGCTTTAATAATTTGTAGAAAATCTTTTTGCTGGTGTGTGGACATGGTGCCAGGGACAATTTCATCTAGCTTACCTCCCCCTCTCATGTGGCCCTGTGCTGGATGCCGGAATAATGGCCCCATGCCCATGGTGTCCAACTGGGATTTTTGGTGGTGCCCCTAAATGCAGCTCATGCCATTGACAAGACCAGTTAGTCTTGATGCTTGATTGATTTTGCAGTTTTCTTCCCCAAAATATAATATCTGTCTTTGGAAGCCCCTCGGGGTATTCTTGTCCTCACAACTATTCACAGGTGACATGGAAGAGATTTGTCACATACACAAGGTACTGATGTGCTACCTTGCAGACACCTACTGTTTGGTGTGAAGCAGTTCTCCCCTCCATGCCTGGCTTGTGCCTCTGTGGCACTGCTGTGGCACTGGTGTCTCCCACGCCAGTGCTTTAGTGTTACATCCACAGCCTTAGTTCCAGATTGAAGAAGTGATGTTAATTTTCTGTATAAACGGTAATACCATAAGGAAAAATTCAAAGGACACCAGCCAGCACTTGATCTAGTGCTTGGTCTCAATCAGCAGAAGGATTTCCAGGACTGCTGTTGACAAGAAATTCTGGGTTCAGCTACAGATCCAGGTGTAAAGTGCTGTATTATTTAACTCCGTTCTTTCAGTTCTTTACCCATCTGTTCCAAAGGACGGAAGAGGATGATGCAGAGCTTTCTCATCAAGCAGGCTATATATACAGCAAAGAGAAACCTCAGCCACATCCCACTTGCTAGCTTTGACACTAGAAGCATTATAGCTGTGTTAACCTGGTGATTTAATCCGTTTTTTTACCCTGCTTGTCATTATGCTACAGGTGGTATCCCAAGTGTGACTACTGTTAAGCTCTGAGCTAACTCAGAAACCTGTGTTGCGTTTTACAAACATAAACTGTGCTCTCCAGCTGCTCTGTGTGGTGTATGTAGCTCAGGTCGTATCTAAACTGCACTTAATCCTATATGCAGAGCTGGCTGAAGGGTAGCTTAGGAAGGGAATATAGGGATTTGGATCAGGAGGGTTCCTAGGAAGGGGAGCCAGAGCAAACAATGAGCTGAGCAGAGAGATGCTTGAGTCATTTGTGAGCAAAGAGCAGCATGTTAAATTCTTCAATAAACTGAAATACCTGTTGATGGACAGCCTGAATCCTAGGTGTTCCCCAAGGCTCCCTGACCACCAGGCAAGGAAGTGCTGATGGCAGACTCCTGTCATCTGCTGCCAGACTTATATTAGTAAAGCCTCCTTCTTCGCTGCTGGTGCTTGCCCACACCTCTGGCAGCCCCACTGGTGGCACAGGTCCCAGCAGTGACACTACATGCAGTTGCTGTCACTTGCTCTCACCCATGAATATGTATGCATTTTAATACAAAGCAGAAGAGCTTTTTGAGAACTGCCAGGGATTCCCACCCAGGAAACATCTGTGCCCAGGGACTGCAGCACTCTGTGTTAGTGGGAGACCCCTGCACCAGGTGAGCTGGGCCAGGGGATGCAAACCTGTGCCCTGGGGCCAGGGCGAGGTCTCAAGACAGCTACACCACCTGAGCAACATCTGCATGTGCTGCATCAAAAACCATCTCTCTCTCCCTGAGGACAGCAAGCACCATGGGCCTTGGACACACACTTGAGTTGAGAAGATTGCACGTATCAGATGGTTGCATATTTAGGCCAAGTCTCCTAAAATGTGATTGCTCCCTTTGGGTTACATTTGTGGTCCAGATATTTACCGTTTGGTCTAAAACCCCAGCCCTTTGTATGCAAGCCAGGTATGTTTCTTCTTCTCTGACTGCAAAGTCTTGCATGTTTTCTCCTGACAACAAACCTCTGGCAGCAAGCCGGCAACCTTGGTGCAGATTGGTGTTAAAGTTGTGAGAGAGGTTAGGAGATATCCTAGTCTGCAGGAATGGAAAAGTTTTGACAGGTTTGCTGAACCCCTGCAAGCTGTGGGCTTTTCTTGTCCTTTGTCACTGAACTCGTTAAGGTCTTTTCCAACCAAGGCAATTCTGTGATTCTGTGACTCACAGCCAACAGCAGAAACTGTCTGCAGCCTGTGTGTGGACACAGACCAAGACAGAGAAGTCTGGTCCTGGGAAGAACCTCCTTTATCAAGAGGAAGTAAGTGTTT